AAGAAGCTCTGCTGATGAAGGTGCCATGGCTTAAAAGACAACTTCTGCAATTTCTCCCTTCAGTATTCCTGTATTGAATATTTGGAGAAAAATAGGTCTTTGGGTGTTTAGCATACTGCATTGACAATTAGGAAAACTTCTTTAACTTATATAAAGGGAAAATACATTTTGGGACTGTGTTACAAATAATACATTCCTTGTTGGTATCCATGGTAACCCTGGGGATCTTAAAGATCACATTGTTCCATTAGTGGGGAAGATGAGCAGATTATCTCCTAGTAGACTATAAACTGTCCCATTTTACCATTGCTGGGAAATAGCCAGTTACATCTCAGGTTGAAGAAGCTTTCAGTCAGTTTAACTGTCTTCCACTGAACATACGCACTGAGACAATAACTCTTCTTCACACCAGATCACAGTAGCATAACACAGTTAAAATCTATTTAATTGAAATATTGAAGTGCACTTAAAAAGTTACTTTCCTATTACCAGTGGGAATAAGGTAAATGTAGCATTAATAAAATCAAGAAACTTTGAGGTTTTTTTCTTCTTTCTCCTCCACTCGTTAAACTGACAAGCGAAGACTGGCAGGGTAAAAAATAAGCCATAACCATTGCTTCATTTCCAGGGTTAAATCCAATGGTTGTTGCCCCGTAGTGCCGTGTCTTAGCCAGTAGCTGCTGACAGATGTCTGTGAATAGATTGGAAGTCTCTAAATGAGCTACTATTTCATGCAGGTTATGTGGGAGACAAGGAAAGGGGATAGACACAGGAAATGCTTTAAACATAGACTTCCTATTCAGGTCAAGGTAACTGCTTGCTCAGTCAGAAAGTAAATATTTGACTTTTATGGGATACACTTAAATATCTCTTTTTATTATTGAGATATTCATAACTTTAAATCTGTCTCTAAAAATGTATGTTGACAGATCATATGTCTTTGTCAGCCCACAGACAAGGTGTATCGAGGCCTACTGATGCACCTTGTGCCCATATACTAATAATATTGGTTGCACGATGAATACCCTAAGAGCTACCAGTACAAGGCCAAGAAAAAAAGAAGACTGGCAATAAAAACTCTAGTGTCCTAGGGCACTGCATTTTTTGGCAGTGTGAGGAGGTACCCACTAATAGGGGCAGAATCTCCTTCTCCCCTCCCCCAGTTCCAAACTCTCCTAGCTGGGAAAGAATGAGGGGGAAGCTGGAATAGTCTAGGCTACTGTTGAGAAAAAACACTGCTTGTTCCTCCTGGCTAAATGGCGTGGACTTTATTTTTCCATTGCCTTGTACACTGCATATTCATCTTCACCTGTGCAACTGAGCAAAAATTATACCAGATCAGAAGACATTTTATTTGTACATTTTGCAAGAGAAGGAAAGATGACAAAAGGTGCATAGTGAGGGAGAACCACAACCCTCTCTAACTCTTACAGTCAGCTTGTCCTTGGTAAGCATGCCAAGGTCCTCCACTCCTTGATCTCTTCCAATGATCATCCACAGGATTGATCTAGGCAGCTATTGCTTTCCATAACCCCTTCAAATGCCTTTGGATTAATGAGTGTTACTTCCACCTCCCTTCCCTTCCCTTCCCCACTGTTACTCAGAGTTTTCAGAACCCAAAGCAGTGGTAACTTAACTTCATAAATCAATGGGAATACAGTGCTTATGGCTCATGAAAGACTGATACAAGTAAACATGCTCTTATCTAAAACTATTTATTAGATGTAAGCACTCACCGACATAAGCAATAGGTTTAGAAAATCCCAAATAATTACCTACAATCTGAGATGGTATTGAGGAATTAGCAGCAGCTCATGGGATGTTAGATGGGGTGGGATCTGAGTTACTACAGAGAATTCTTTCCTGGGTATCTGGCTGGTGAATCTTGCCCATGTGCTCAGGGTTTAGCTGATCACCATATTTGGGGTCGGGAAGGAATTTTCCTCCAGGGAAGATTGGAAGAGGCCCTGGAGGTTTTTCGCCTTCCTCTGTAGCATGGGGCATGGGTCACTTGCTGGAGGATTCTCTGGTCCTTGAAGTCTTTAAACCACAATTTGAGGACTTCAATAGCTCAGACATAGGTGAGAGGTTTTTCGCAGGAGTGGGTGGGTGAGATTCTGTGGCCTGCGTTGTGCAGGAGGTCAGACTAGATGATCATAATGGACCCTTCTGACCTTAATATCTATGAATCTATGAATCAGTCGTGACCGGTCACTTCCCTGCCGGAGCGTAAGCTGTCAGGAAAGAGTCTCTCAGGGTAGCTTCAGAGAACTGCTCCAAAGTGCACTCTATTATCTCGTCCCTTTATAACACGTTTTTTTTTCACAAAACACATAGCTTATAGTGACCCCTACTGGGTTATCACTTCTCCAAATTTCAATCAACTACTTAAAACATTCCTAACAATCTTAGCCATAATAAGGTTCTGTATCAAATGTGCCCAAACTCAGGGTCTCCATCCACTTATTTTCTTTCAGTGTCATAATTTGTTGACTCTTTTCTCCCCTCCTCCCATTCTAATTAGCAGAACCTGCAAGCCTGCAGCTGGTATTTGACCTTGCCTCCAAAAGCCCTTTTTGTCCAAATTAACTGTGACGGGGCAAGGCCAGATGGCTATAGAAAAGTAGTGGGAGATAGATATATTAGCTCCAGGCTAAACAAATCCCTGGTACCAGGGTAAGTGAAATGGCAGCTGCTCCAGGTCAATTAAGACACCTGGGGCCAATTAAGAACTTTCCAGAAGGCAGGGAGAAGGCTAGGTTGATTGGGACACCTGAAGCCAATCAGAGGCTGGCTGAAACTAGTTAAAAGCCTCCCAGTTAGTCAGGTGGGTGTGGATGTCAGAAGCTGTGGGAGGAAGTTGTGCTGTTGGAAAGGCTGAGTGGTACACACCATGTCAGGCACAAGGAAGGAGGCCTTGAGGTAAGGGTGAAGTGGAGCTTGAGGAAGTGAGGGCTGCTGTGGGGGAAGTAGCCCAGGGAATTGTACATGTCATGTTTCTAAAAGGTCAGCTACCATAGCTGATACTATTAGGGTCCCTGGGCTGGAGCCTGGAATAGAGGGTGGGCCTGGGCTCCACAACTGCACCTTTGCTCCCTGATTAATCAATGAGACTGGGAGATAACAGAGACTGTGCAAGGAAGGATAACTTCTCCTCACCTCCCTCACTGACTTATGATGAAAATGGCTCAATAGATTGTGACCCTTATCTCTAGAGTCATGATGAGCCTCTGAAGCTAGCAAAATGCACCAGGAAACGTGGGACCCAGGAATGCAAGGACAGAGCTTTGTCACATAACCCTTACCTATGTGATGTTCTATTTTATTAATTCATGGTGGCTGAATGCACACAATATGGCTGCAATTAGCTTGATCAAATTCTGGGGTAAAACACCCCTCAATTCCAGGGTAACACCACAACTATTGTTCATGATTGAGCTCTCTTAGAAACATGATAAAGGAAATTGTGTCTAGTAGGTCTATTAACTAAAAGATGTAGCCACTTGTTTGACTATACTCGTATGGAACTGGCTTACCTGATGAGAGCAGGCCCAAGTTTAGACAACACATATGTGAACAAGTAACTGCTGAGGAAGCCCAAACAAGTAATTGCTGACAAAACTACTATGATCAGTCTTCATGATTGGTCTAGATGCTAGTATCTAGGAAAGATGTACATAAATTGTATTGTTTGTGACATGAAGTGGTATCACTCTGTATCTAAACCCCTTGCATTGGGACCTGGCCAACATAGGCAAAGAGCTGTTCTATGACTAATAAAGTAACCTGAGTGAAAAGCTGGAGTTAAACTGAAGGTTGTTTTGTTGGCTGCTTGGGGGTTTTTTGTTTGTTTGTTTTGTTTGCTTTTAATCCCAGAGAACTAGATTTAAGTGTTCTCCCAGAACTGGACAAGGTGTTCTAGCTAAGCTGAGTGGAAAGCTCTCTGAGGGAATCCCAACAACTTGCGGTTAATTTTTAAGAATGTGTTTGAGACCAAATAACTGAACTTAGCAAAATGTATTGTCTAAAGATAAAGCAGTACAAGATGAAAAGGAAACATATGTAGCTTCCTTCTAGGAAGCTGTTTTTATCTAGCAGCATGTTTACATTACACAGGTGTAATTTGGAAATATTCGTTTAAACTAGCTTTCTTGATAGTACTGTTTCAAAAATTACAAAATGTTCTATACATCTCTGTGACAAATGAAGGGGGGAGGGTAGCTACCTTTCATGGACACCCAGCCAGCCAGTAGCTATAAAATCCCTCTTAGTAGCTGTTTTCTAATTGCTCTATCTGAAAAGGGTTAAAAAGTCTAACTGCTATGCATAGGTAAAAGGAAGTGAGTGGGCACCTGGCCAAAAGAGCCAATGGGAAGGCTAGAATGTTTAAAAATTGAAATGAGACTTCCCTTTTGTCTGGCTGCTGTTGTTCTTGTGGAGAGAAAGACAGGGGGCAGTTATACTGTGAGAAGCTTGGGCCAGGTGTGAAAAATCATCAGCATTAGACCTAGAAACTACTCCTCTAAAACCCCAGATATGTAAGTAGATCAGGAAATGTCTAGGAAGACACGATTAGGTTGATACCTTTTATTTCTTTATGGCTTGTGGATGCCTCTGTGCTAACCCCAGGTGCTTTTGTTTTGCTTGTAACCTTTAAGTTGGACCTCGAGAGCTATTCTTGATGCTTAATCCTTGTAGTTTTTTTTTTAATCAAGCAAAAGCCCAAGTTCCCCGATGTATTTTCTTCTGTTTTAATTAATAAAATTTACCTTTCTAAAGAACATAATTGGATTTTTGGTTTTAAGAGGTTTGTGCACATGTTCTTTAATTAGCTGGTGGCAACAGCTGATTTCTTTTTTTTTCCCTTGGCTCTTCATCAGAGAGGGGGTGAAAGGGCTTGAGGGTACCACACAGGAATTCCCAAGTGCACTTTCCTAGGTTCTCAAAGGGGTTTTGCACTTGGGTGGTGGCAGCATCTGCTAGTCCAAGGTCAGAGAAAAGCTGTAACTTTAGGAATTTAATACCGGCCTGGAGTGGCCAGTATTAATCATTAGGTTTCAGAGTAGCAGTGGGGTTAGTCTGTATTTGCAAAGAGAAAAGGAGTACTTGTGGCACCTTAGAGACTAACAAATTTGCTCAGCCTTACCTCAGTCCCTGGAAAAATCATGGAGCAGGTCCTCAAGGAATCAATCCTGAAGCACTTAGAGGAGAGGAAAGTGATCAGGAACAGTCAGCATGGATTCACCAAGGGCAAGTCATGCCTGACTAATCTAATTGCCTTCTATGACGAGATAACTGGCTCTGTGGATGAAGGGAAAGCAGTGGACGTGTTGTTCCTTGACTTTAGCAAAGCTTTTGACACGGTCTCCCACAGTATTCTTGCCAGAAAGTTAAAGAAGTATGGACTGGATGAATGGACTATAAGGTGGATAGTAAGCTGGCTAGATTGTCGGGCTCAACGGGTAGTGATCAATGGCTCCATGTCTAGTTGGCAGCTGGTATCAAGTGGAGTGCCCCAGGGGTCGGTCCTGGGGCCGGTTTTGTTCAATATCTTCATAAATGATCTGGAGGATGGTGTGGATTGCACCCTCAGCAAGTTTGCGGATGACACTAAACTGGGAGGAGTGGTAGATACACTGGAGGGTAGGGATAGGATAAAGAGGGACCTAGACAAATTGGAGGATTGGGCCAAAAGAAATCTGATGAGGTTCAACAAGGACAAGTGCAGAGTCCTGCACTTAGGACAGAAGAATCCAATGCACCGCTACAGATTAGGGACCAAATGGCTCGGCAGCAGTTCTGCAGAAAAGGACCTAGGGGTTACAGTGGATGAGAAGTTGGATATGAGTCAACAGTGTGCCCTTGTTGCAAAGAAGGCCAATGGCATTTTGGGATGTATAAGTAGCCAGCAGATCGAGGGACGTGATTGTTCCCCTCTATTCAACATTGGTGAGGCCTCATCTGGAGTACTGTGTCCAGTTTTGGGCCCCACACTGCAAGAAGGATGTGGATAAATTGGAGAGAGTCCAGCGAAGGGCAACAAAAATGATTAGGGGACTGGAACACATGACTTATGAAGAGAAGCTGAGGGAACTGGGGATGTTTAGTCTTCAGAAGAGAAGAATGAGGGGGGATTTGATAGCTGCTTTCAACTACCTGAAAGGGGGTTCCAAAGAGGATGGTTCTAGACTGTTCTCAGTGGTAGCAGATGACAGAACAAGGAGCAGTGGTCTCAAGTTGCAGTGGGGGAGATTTAGGTTGGTTATTAGGAAAAACTTTTTCACTAGGAGGGTGGTGAAACACTGGAATGCATTAGCTAGGGAGGTGGTGGAATCTCCTTCCCTTGAAGTTTTTAAGGTCTGGTTTGACAAAGCCCTGGCTGGGACGATTTAGTTGGGGATCGGTCCTGCTTTGAGCAGGGGGTTGGACTAGATGACCTCCTGAGGTCCCTTCCAACCCTGATATTCTATGAAGGTGCCACAAGTACTCCTTTTCTTTTTATTAATTTTTAGAATCCTTGCTGTCCCCCACCTTCTGTACTCGAAGTTCCAGAGTGGGGAATCAGCCTTGACAATCTCTAAAGTCCAACTTGCCAGTTCATAACAGCTTTTGACCTTGTTTTGTTCTGTACTTTTTTTGGATACCACATTGTAAACCAGTTGCTTAAGAACAGGCCCGCCAACAGCAATTCCGGGCCCCAGGGCTCTCTCTTGGGAGGTGCGGGGTCCAAGGCAGACGCGAGGCATCTGTCACTTCTGGGATCAACCCCATCACTTCCAGGACTGACCACGCTGGGCTGGCCAATTGTGCTGGCTGGCGGGGCCCCACAAAGTTCTTGGCCCAGAGTGGTCACCACCCCTTACGAACCTAGGAGCCCTGCGGCCTATCTGGGCAATTTAAAAGGGTCTGGGGCTCCTACAGCCCTTTAAAATAACCCGGCCCCCTGGGCAATTGCCCTCTTTGACCCCTCTCCACCCGTCGGCCAGCCTGCCTATGAAGGTTTCTCTACCAGGACATAGAACAAATGTGTTTTGCCTTTGACAAATTCTCTATTAGCTAGTGCAGAAGCTGATTCCAGCTTTGTGAAGTGTTATGAGGTACTGAGCATGATTGAACAAATTCTGGTAAGGGCACAATATATTCAGTTAACAACTTCCCAATTTTTTTTATATAGATATAATGCATATTAATACTGTGTGCATAATACCCATTAATGTGGTGTATGCCCAATATATATGTATTGGCTAACAGTCCCCTCATCACTTTGATAACTATATCAGGATGACACCTTTGCCAAATTAATATATGAATTTATGATGCAAATAATATATGAAGCATAGGTAATAGCACTCAAGAAATGTACACTGTTTTAATAAGCTGAATAGTGGCAATACATAACTGATACAGTTAAAACTATAACTCAAAGTAGAACAGACCTTTTTACAGTGTGACCCACAATGATACGTACACAAGGAGTAAAACAATAATTTGATGTGGACATTAAAAATGAGATTTCCATACATTTTTTATTATTTACTAGCATACTGTCCATTCATAATATAGGCTACCCTTACTGCTGGTTGTTACCACTTGTTAAGCTATATAGGGCAGGAGATAGGAGTGGCTAGTTTCTCTGTCTCGTTGTACTGGATTAAACCACTGTGGCCACACACTGGAGTTGCAATGTCAAAAACATTACTTACACAAGTATTCATATCCATTAATGGAGCAACAAGCTGCGTGGAGTGTCTTCCAAGTCTGAGTTGCTGAGTGGTACACCAGTAGCTGAGGTAGATCTAGGCATTCCTTGAAGACATATTCTTCCAGAAAACTTACTGAATGGACAGTAGCTAATTCATTGAATATTGCAGTGTTAGGATTCAAAATTGATAAAGATACCCTAAAATAAATATTACACTGTGCACAATTGTTTTATATAACATGTGCCTCAATGAGAATGCAGTGTCATTGACCCAGATTACTAATTATGCTAAATAGAATCTGCCTAAATGATTTAATACATTTCCAATTTACAACACATCTGTTATACTTTGAGGACAATACCATTTAGCTAATTGCTTATCATTAATAAAATCCAGCAACTTTCCCTTTTTGTTAATTATGTAACCAGTTTGGTAAGAAACAGAAATCCTATATGCAGTGCAATTTCTTTTTTTACTTATTGTGTGTAAGTTATTTATAGATAGATATTTGGTTAAACAGTTTATCAGTGTTGTCTTGTGCAGCTATTGGATTTTGTGTATATTATTATATCTTAACAAAAAAAAGTTATACAACAATGATAGACTGATAAACTTGGTTGTGTAAGAGTTAGGTATACATAATAACCAAATGTAGCTCTACTGAATGAAAGGGGAGATGTAAAACAACAGGTATATGCATAAACTCCATTTGCTTAGACCTGGTCTGCCTAGTGGTCTTTATTATGTCTTTATAGGTGATTGCGCACTCAGTTGTCCATACAAGGAGAGGCTGAAATATAGTTGACCAGTTTGAGTCAGCAGTGTGCCCTTGTTGCCAAGAAGGCTAATGGCATATTGGGCTGCATTAGTAGGAGCGTTGCCAGCAGATTGAGGGAAGTGATTATTCCCCTCTATTCTGCACTGGTAAGGCCACATCTGGAGTACTGCCTCCACTAAAGAAAGGATATGGACAAATTGGAGAGAGTCCACCGGAGGGGAACAAAAATTATGAGGGGGCTGGGGCACATGACTTACGAGGAGAGGCTGAGGGAACTGGGGTTATTTAGTCTGCAGATGAGAAGAGTGAGGGGGAATTTGATAGCAGCCTTGGAACCTGAAGGGGGGTTCCAAAGAGGATGGAGCTAGGCTGTTCTTAGTGGTGGCAGATGAAAGAACAAGGAGCAATGGTCTCAAGTTGCACGGGGGGAGGTCTAGGTTGGATATTAGGAAAAACTATTTCACTAGGAGGGTGCTGAAGCACTGGAATGGGTTACCTAGGGAGGTGGTGGAATCTCCATCCTTAGAGGTTTTTAAGGCCCAGATTGACAAAGCCCTGGCTGGGATGATTTGGTGTTGGTCCTGCTTTGAGCAGGGGGTTGGACTAGATGACCTCCTGAGGCCTCTTCCAACCCTAATCTTCTATGATTCTATGTAGATATATTTTTCCCAATGCCTCTTTTATTTTTAATTGTATACTGATATATTCCATTGTCTTTGGTCTGTGGGATGCAGCTTTAAACAGAGTAAATTTAAGCTTGTGTATAAAAGCTTAAAGTAAGAGGGACCAAGCTATCTATGACACAAGTTCACATTTTGTTAGAGCACATGACAGAAGCATGACTTAGTTATTTGCTCTTTAATTATTTATTTTATTTGTTAAAATAAATTTTAGCTTTTTGTTCTGATTTTTTCCCTTATTTTTTTTAGCATAAATGTACCTGGTTTAGATGCTTTTTCAGTTTTTACATAAAGAGTGTTTTGTTTTGTTTTTACCTCCTTAACATGTGCGTTAATAGTTTTCCACAATAAATACAGTACTTGTGAGCACCTGTCTTTGCATTAAATCTTTTGTGAGAAAACTTGCTCTTCTCTTCTGGCCTGCGTTGTGCAGGGGCTCGGACTAGATGATCATAATGGTTCCTTCTGACCTTAGTATCTATGAATCTATTCTCTACTCTCCCTCCCTCCCCCCCCCGCCCTCCAGCACTGCAGAAATGTGTTTGGTTAGCGTGAACATTTTGCAGCGTAGTCAGACACAATATATATTGTTATATTTTTTAACACTTTGGCTATAATATACTTGTAACTATATTCTAATATTTAGTAAAGGCACAAACAAATGTACAAAATTTTCTGTGCAGGAAGTGGCACAGGCCAAGGGACGTACTGGCCGCCACTTTCTGCAGCCCCCATTGGCCAGGCACAGTGAACCGTGGCCAGTGGGAGCTGCGATCTGCTGAACCTGCGGACACGGCAGGTAAACAAACTGGCTGGGCCTGCCAGGGGCTTTCCCTGAACAAGCGGCGTCCCAAGTTTGGGAAACGCTGCTCTAGGGCGTAGGCATCCAGACACCTGGTGCAGTGGGCATGACCAGAGGCAGAAAGATACGTTTCTTTGGAACTTTACTGAAAAAACTTA